CTCACCCAGGAGATGCAGGATATTTCATAGAGGGAGTGATTTGAGAGGGATCTTTGAAAATCAATATTGCTACTGCTAAGTATGATGATGATGATGATGATGATGATGATAGCTAATACAAACGGAGCACCTACTATGTGCCAAACACTAGGCTGAGCACTTTATTTGTATTATCTCATTTAATGTTCACAACATGCCTTAGGCATAGGCATTATCGTCTCCATTTTACAGATGAGAAAATATTAAGTCACTTGCTCAAGGTCACTTAGTGAGTTGTGAAGCTAGGATTTGAACCGGCAGAGATAACGTTAAGAGGCTCCCGGGCTGTAAAAACAGCATGAACAAATTGCTCGGTGGTTTTCAAATAGAATATGTGTTGGAGTATAGCTGAAGCAGAGCCACATGCAAGGGATGGGAAACTAATGGCAAGGTAGGCAGGTGCTAGATCCTGCAGGACTTGAAGGTCAGCACAAGGACTATGGTAAGTTTAACAAGGCCATGGGGAGCCTTTGCAGGGTGTTTTTGAAGAGCAGATCTGCCCTTTTGGACAATTAATAGAACGCCATGTGGAGGAAGGATGAGAACTGAGGGAGGGACAGACTTAGAGGTTATGCACAAATTCAAAACCTTGAGGCCCTGAACCAAGACATTAGCAGCCTTAGGATAAGAGGGTGTGGATGCAGGATGTACCATGAAGCTATAGTCACTGGACTTCTCTCTTAGCACCCCATCTCAATTTTAACTCACCAATTCCTTGTGTGGTCTTTTGTCCGGTGTCTTCCTCCCCCAAACTGAATGCTGTGAGAGCAAACTGACTCCCTTCTTCCCTGCCACAGCTCAGCATTGAGAACAGTGTTGGGCAGAATAGATACTCAAAGAATATCGGTAGTGTGATTGAGTGACTGAGTGAGTGAGTGAGTGAGTGAAGAAGTCCCGGACTCCAGAATTTTCAGCTGAGGCAACTGGAAAAAACACGCTAGAAGAAAAGATGATTGGGTGAGGAAAGCAAGGGTGAGACTGATCTTTGGACAGATTGAATCTGAGATTATCCATGTGACGATATCCAGCAGAGAATTAAATGTGCAGGTGCAGGGGAGTGTCTGTGAATAAAGAAGGGCATAAATCAATAGGGTTGGTGAGATTCCCAAGGCAGACAGTGGGGGGAGGACGGACAGCAGAAGGGGGAAGAGGGAGAGAGATTGGGGGAACATTTACATTTTAAAGGAAGAAGTCAGCAAAGGAGAGAGAGAAGATTTGTCTGAGAAGCAAGCTGAAGATCACAGGAGTGCTCTGTCATAGAATTCAGGAGATTCAAGAAGAAGGCTGAAAAACAGAGAGATGGGGAGAGAATAGGGGTCCATCATCAACATCTAATGCTACAGAGGGATTGGAGAGCTGTGAAAACACTCCAGGGTCTGGAATCTGGGAGGCCTCCGGTGATTCTGACCAGGGCAATTTCGGTGGCAGTACAGAAGCAGCAGATCTCTGATCTCACAGAGCTGCAGCTGACCCAGAGGTGAAAGAGTGGAGGCTCCAAGTGGAGACCCCTTCATCACAATGGAAGAGGGCAGAGATTAAGGGAAAGGTGGTTCAGAGCGGGAACTGGAGAAGAGAGGGGATAAGAGACCTATAGAGAAGAGACTGAGGATGTGAGGAAGAAGGAGCATGAAAGACTCAAGGAGGAGGTGTAAGGAGAGAAGATTTGCAGCTCAGGCAGACAGATTAACTTCAGGGGTTAGGAGGGAGCCCTTGTCTTCAGAAGCTAGGAAGGAAGGTTGCAGGAGCTGGGTTGCAATCATTTTGATAATGATAGCAGTCACCATTTACTGAGCCCCCCTCATGTGCCAAACACATTGCATCCATTGTTTCTAAATTTTCAAAGTGGTATTGTAATCCTCACTTATAAGGAAGAGAGGTTAAGTCAGTTATTCACCATCATAGAGCTAAAAAGTAGCAGATTCAGGATCGGAGTCAGGTATGCCTGACCCAAAGCCCACAAGCCTTCCAATGCACCACATGAAGTGGGAGGAAAGTCACCTGCTGAAAGGAATAAGGTAGGAAGACATTGAGCCTTGAGAAATTGGCTAGAGGAGCCTCAACCAGATGAACAAGAAATTACTTGAATGCTGAGAGAGCCTCACTGGAAGTGGGCAGCAGGACTCTAGGGTGAACCCAAGAAGCTGCTAAAAAATCCCAGCAGGCTTCAACGGCGGGGGGCGGGGGGGCCCCTAGAAGGACAAGTATGTAATTATCCAGAAGACTCAGTCCACAACTGAGTAGATGTACTTTGCATATGTGGTGGGGGGGCAAGGAAGGGTAATCAATGGTAATCAATGTTTACTGAATAAATACTTAGAAGCATAGAGCCTGGAGAAGCAGATGGTGTGGTGATAGAGAAATGGCATGTTGACTTGAATGCTGCCATGGGATATCCAGAGGGAGGTGTTCAAGAGGAAGGCAAGTGTATTTCTTGACTCATTTATTGCCTATTTCCCTATGCACACACACATACATACTCACACCACACACACTCCAGAATGTAATCTGCATGAGGGCAGGGTGTTGTCTGTCCTTTTCACTATTATACTTCCAGTGCCTAACACACTGCCTGGTACATAGTAGGTGCTCAATTAAAACTTGTTGGATAAATGAATATAGTGGTCTGAGAGCCCACTGAAGATGTCTAGGTATCATTAAAGCCCAAGTAAAGATGAGTTCCCCTAGGGAAGCATTACAGAGGAAAAAGAGGCAGGGGCTAAAGTCAGAGTCCTAGGGAACACACTTACTGAAGAAAGGAAAAGAAAAAAAGAGGAGGCAGCAAAACTGAGGGGTGGGGGCGGGGAGGGATTAGTAGGAGAGGAGAGTGCAGAAGGAGACAAGGGAGGGGAAAGAACTGAGTCACAGAACCAAGACAGGAGCATGATTTGAGGATACAATGGGGTGACCAGCAGTTCAAATGCTGTAGAACTACTCCAACAGAACCACTGGAAAGAGGGCCCAGAAAATCATCTGGTCCAGGAGAGAGACTTGCCAGAGCAGCAAGTTAAGGATGAGGCTGGACCTAAAGCCCAGGTGCCTTGTGGACCCATTTGAGACATCTCAAATTGGAGTCCTGCGTCCTCCACCACCACCTGCCTATTCCTTGAGCTGCATGTAAACACAGAGGAGGAACCCAATAGTTCCTGAAATCATTTGATTATTAAATTGTTCCTTTCCTGTTCTTAGAAATGCAGACTCTTTGCAATGTTTTTGAATTGAGTGAAAACATCTTAATTGACTGAGCTAAGCTGCCTTCAAAACTCAGAATTTTGGGCCAGGGTGGGTTCTCTTGCATTTCCTGGAAATCCTACTCCTTTTTTGCATGTCCTTAAAAATATGCAGTCAGCCACTGCCAACATTAACTGGTAACGGCTACACACAAGGCACCTGACCAGTACCTCCTCTTCTTCAAAAGTCAGTACAAGGGCAGACTTAATCCTCTTCTCACTGGCAGGAAGCACACTGCATTCTCAGGGGGTCACAGCCAGGGAGTATTGAGCCTGGACTGCAGACCAGGTATGTCTGATGCTAAAGCCCCTGGCACTGTTTTTCTACTCCATCATGATTTGCTGTCCTCCAAACAACCTGTCAGGTGGTATGATCATGTAGAAGTCCTCAAATAAACTCTTGGGCCCCATTTGATGGAAAGATCTCAGTCTGCTGATATGTTTTCTCATTTTGTAAGAAATGAGGAAAATCCATCAACAAACAGCCAGTGACCTTGAACTCAACCTGGTTGTGATACCGCCCTGCGTCTCTGCCACCATTTCCCTTTTTCCTCCCAGCAAATCATAAGGACCCCAAGGCTGTGTAGGCTGACAGGCCTTGGGGAGGAGGCCTGGCCCGAGGCCACTACATCACAATTTGGATAGCTCATGGATGTTCCCATCCACACCCAAAAGCGGATTTGTGGTGGCTTTGTCTATGAAAAAAAAAAAAAAAAACCAACAAACGGTGAAAATAAAAAGGAAATCTCGGAGAGTTACAACATCAGGGTTCAAATTCTCCAGGATGTGGGGGGGAACAAGATAGAAAGAGGTCAAAGGTGGAGGGAAGCTCTAAGCTCTCTACCCCTCCCCACTAACATTGGATGGAATAGTTCTACTTTTACGTATCTTGCATATTGAGATTCCCATTAAGATTTTATTTGGAGAAAACCTTCTGAGGCCAAAATAAAATAACAACAACAACAAAAACATAGTAAAAACTGAAAGTTGATAATTTAGAGAGAAGGGGAGGGCTAACATAAGCTGAGAGTTTACAAGGCCCGTGCTTGGTACTTTAAAGGCCCTAAGCCTCAAGAAGATTATTATGTCTCCAACCCCCCATGTGGTATTCAAAATAAAAATAAGTATTAAGCTATAAAACATGAAAACTTACATGTTTGTTTCAATAAAAGTAACTTATTTCTCCATTTGTCTAATTTCAGACATCTGGATATGTTCATCCAAGCTGACTATTCTTTTTCCTAGCCAGCCTCTGATCTGCCAGGGCCCTAAGCATGCTTATTCCACCTAGGGATTGATCCAGTGGTCCAGGCTGAAATTTTCTCCAGTCTCCACAGTAGCCCTGGCAAAAGAGTCACTGCCATTCCATCATACAGATGAGGAAACTGAGGCCTGAATGTCACATGGCAAATAAGGAATGAGGGTGGCATGAGAACCCAGCTCTGCCTGACTCCAAAATCCAGCTTCTTTCTAGCACTCCTGGCTTCAACCAAATAAAAGCAATTCGGTCAAGATGAAGGTTTTAAAATCGGAATCCGAAGATAGGTGACCACATACATGTGCCTGGCATGCAGCAAGTACTCAGGAAACAGCCCCTTTCCATCTCCTTTCCAAGGGTGGCAGGGCATTGAGTCTTGGCCTCAGCTGATGGAGCCTAGGGCTTGAACCAGAGTGAGGCTGCCATCTGTCTGTGCAGAGGCCTCTCCCGTTTGATCCCCGACTCCTCTTTTGCAGGTTGACACATCTCCCTGAACCAGGCCTTGCCAGGAGCACTGCATGCAAACTCGGCTGCGCACTAGGGCACGCTAACTGGAGCTGGAGTCATGGACTTTGTCATGAAGCAGGCCCTTGGAGGTGAGGCCCGAGCCCAGCACCCCTCACTCCCGAACCAGGTCCCAAACCAGATGGGAGGGGTCCACAGAGAACCAAGGCCCTCCTCTATCCCCAGCCCTGTCCCCCCACCCTGACCCCACCTTCTCCCTCCCCAAACCATCCACCGTAGGGGCCACCAAGGATATGGGGAAGATGCTGGGGGGAGAGGAGGAGAAGGACCCAGACGCCCAGAAGAAGGAGGAGGAGCGACAGGAGGCTCTACGGCAGCAGGAGGAGGAGCGTAAGGCCAAGCATGCGCGCATGGAGGCTGAGCGTGAGAAGGTCCGGCAGCAAATCCGAGACAAGGTTGGCACCTCCCACCGCCCGCAGAGTAGAAGGCACCAAGGTCAAGCCCGTCCCCCTCAGAGCCCGGCCACAGGCTTCCCTGAATCCCTGCTCTCACCTTAGACCTCGCTTTCTCTGAGCGCCACTCTCCTCACAGGGTAAAAGGAGTATCACAGGAAAACCTCACTGGAAGGAGCGTTATGGGGATTAAATAAGATAATGCACATGAGAAGTGCTCCCTAATGTTTGCTGCTATGGTCCACAATCTTGTACCCAAGACGCTGAGACCAAATGTTTACCATCCAGAATTTGGGAATTTTAGGGAAGTACAGTAGTGCCTTGAGCACCTGTTACTGTTACAAGTCATTCTCAATGGGTCTGCTGCTGCTACCTATGCCAAACAGTTCAGTGCATGTCTAGTCTCACCCCGGGGGAAAAAAATCAAGGCACCCCATTAGCTCAAATCAAGTTTCATCATCCAAACATATAGGAGGATTTTCAGATGTCAATTCTTGGGGATTTCAAAAGAGTGGAGAAGTTATTACAAGCAGGCATTAATTTTAAAGTAAACCCCATGCACTGACTTTCTTTTATGGAGCACCTGTTAAGACAGGCACAATCCCATAAGGAAGGCATCCTTATCCCCATTTTATAGATGAGAGGAGTTGAGGCTTGGGGAGTTTCCATGAGAAGCCCCAGCTGAGCCTCCATGATCTTGAGACCCACCCAGCTCTCTCTTTGTCCCATTCATGCTCATGTCTGCCCTCCTCCTCCCCAGTACGGGCTGAAGAAGAAGGAAGAGAAGGAGGCCGAGGAGAAGGCAGCCCTGGAGCAGCCCTGTGAGGGGAGCCTGACCCGACCCAAGAAGGCTATCCCTGCAGGCTGCGGGGACGAGGAGGAGGAAGAAGAGGAGAGCATCCTGGACACGGTGCTCAAATACCTCCCGGGGCCACTGCAGGACATGTTCAAGAAGTAATCGGCCCTCCTGCTCTGTTCCCACTCCACCTGTTACTTTTTTTTGTTTTGTTTTGTTTTGTTCTTTCTTTTCTTTTTATTCAGTTAAGTCTCAGTTCTGAAGGGGAAAACCTCAATTGACCTCTGCCCCCCTTCCCTGGCCAGGGACTCCTCCCTCTCAGTATTCCCTCACATACCCTTCATCCCAAGGTATCCAGCCCCCACCTCACTTCCACATTGCTTGAAAAAGGGAAGGCAGCTTCCCCCCTGTAGGGGGCATTGAACCCAGTGCCAGAGACACTGAGGGCCCCCTCCAGAAGCCTAAGGTCTATGCTAGTGTGGTAATCCCCATACATTCCTTCATGCACCCCACTGCCAGGAGGACCACCGTCCCCAGCCAGCCAAAGTAATGACACATTCCAGCCCTGCCCAGCATGCCGACCTTTGGCCTCTGTCCCACAGTGGGCCTCTAGGTCAGGGCAGGGGCGTTGAGTGGCCTGGCCCTGAGGAAGGGAGTCAGGGTAAGCCTGCCCTGTGAGGACCCTGCCTGAGAGGCCCCCCTGTATTCTGGCCAGGCCTAGGTCTGGGCAGGAGGCTGGGGCTCTCCTACTTCCCTCCCCATGAGATGACACCCACCCCAGGAACACTCCTCTCCCAACCCCCACCTGAGGAGGCATAGCCCCTGCCAATTCAGTCCCTCCAAATGGATCCTCTTTGGACTTTAACTCATCTGTAGAGAGGCCCCAGGGTAGAGCAGCCCCTTGTTTCCCCCTATTCCACTTGGGTCCTGGGCCCCCACTGCCAGGCTAGGCCCGTTTGCCCAGCCAAGGGGCTGCCCAGACCCCCAGAAAATACTTGGAGCCATTGGGCAGCGATGGCCCATGCCATGGGACCCCACTACTGGTACAGCCAAGCTGCCCCCATTCCTATCCACCCCTCTTCCCCACCCCATCCTGTCCATGTGCCTCCAGGGCCCCATGGTCCCCAGGAGGACCCTAACTGGCCAAAGCCCCAAAGCTTTGGGGAGAAGCCAGTTCCAACTTGACAGAAGGCATCTGTTCATTCATCTCATTGGCCAAGAACAAACTCTCCTCTGGATGTGTGAAAATGGCCTTTGTTCCACACCACCCCACCCCAAACTGTCAAGACCTCCTGCTCAGGCAGGTGTGTAAGAACTGGTAGGGGAGGGGGTGGAGCAAATGAGACAGGAAAATGTGTGTTCACGCATGCATGAGTATGTATGGCAAAGACTGCATCAGCATTGTGTGTCCAAAGATTGTACATATAGGTGTGTTGTTAGAGTGTGGGTATGTCTTGAGATTGTGTGTGTATGTTAATTGCATCCCTGTGTTATAGAGATCGTGTATGGTAGGCAGCCTTGTGTATGTGTGCTTGTTTGATGGGCTGTGTATGAATTGAGATTGTGTCATATCTGTTCTCTGGCCATCTTGTATGTGTCGTAGAATTTGCATGTGTTAGCTTGTGTCTGCATGTGTTTTCAAAATGGCATGCACGTCTGGAGAGATGGATATGTGTTAGATTTTGTAGAAGTATGTGTTTGAGAGAACGTCAGATGTGCTGAGACTATTGTGTGCATGTGTGTGGCTCTGAATAGGTAGTTGTGTGCAGAATGTGTGCTTGGGGAGAAAGAACCTGGGTAAGATGCCCCCCCCCCCGCCGTCTTGGCCCTAAAACCATTGGTCATAGGTGGCCACATCCAACAGGAGACCTTGTCCTTGGCCTAGAGTCCTCCCACCCTTAGGGGGTTCCTGCCTGAGGTCCTCAGAAGTCCACTGGGACTGACCTGGCAGTGCCCTGAGAAGCCATTCTGGGCCCCTACCAGGGCCTACCCCCAAAGCAGGGCCCAGGGAGGGGGCGACTTGCCTGCCCCCGAAGCTCCTGCCCCATGGACTCCAGTTTGCATTCTGCAGGTTTTCCATTTTAGTGGATTTATGCTTTTATTTCAGAGAGAGACATGTGTCCTCTCTGTCCGTTTCCAATAGTTAAAGCCATATCAGTTAGACTGCAATACTTTAAAGATGAGACAAAACAATCCATATGTTTAGGGAACCAGAAAAATCTCCTGGTCTGTCCCTTTTCTAGGGAGCAGGGCTCCAGCAGCTCCAGCTCCCTGGATTTGCCCTTCTCCCCCGCCCCCTCCCCTGTGCCCCTGTGTCTGTGCCTGTGTCTGTGATGGGGAGCCACCTCGCACCCCTATTGTCTGCTTGTCTGTGTCTCTTTTCCTGGGCAGGATGGTCATTCTCTAGAGCCCCGGGGTCCAGGGACAGAGACAGGCAGGGCCCAGTCCAGGGGCCCCAGGCTTTCCCAGACCCTGTGTGTGAGCCCCACCCAGGCACAGATGTGGATCCCAAGTATTCAAAATTAAAAGTCTGCCCCTTGACAGGGGCACATAGATCTCACAGGTAGTGCCAGGGAACAACGGGTGCCAGATGGGCAGTGGAGACCGAGGCTCTGGAAGCTTCAGAAGAGCAGGGGAACTCAACTGTGCAAGATATCCCTGGTGGACCTGAGGGACCCCAGGCCCTCAGAGGATGTCCCTGGTGGCCTCCACAGCCCCCCTGCACCCCCAGAGCAGGCTCAGGGATTTTCCCATAGGACAGCACCCTCCAGACTGGCTGGATTAGTCTGGTGCACAGCCTAGATTCCTCCAGACTTCTCAGGCCTACTCCTGAGAAGCAGGACTAGAGGTCTTCCTGGAAGTGGGAGCAAGGGACAATTTCAGCATTGGGCATGCCTTCCTCTAACCACTGCCAGGTGGTCATTGTCAGGTCCAGGGAGACATGATGACTGTCATTACTGATATAGACCTGACTGTGGAAAGAAGCTAAGGTGTGACCAGTGAAGATGTTGTGTGCAACACACTCAGGTGGAGGGAGAGGGGAAACAAAATATGTATGTAAATATGTCCTCTAGCAGGGAAGGGATGGTCACATGATGTACTTGGGGTGGGAGGTGTGTGTGGCCCACTAGATGGGAGGGGGATGAGTTTATCTCATAAATGGGGCAACATGCATATGATACACTTAGGAGGCTAGGATGGGGAGGGAGTGGTCCCGGAATTCAGCACACACATACAACATATCAGGGAGACATTCTCCAGCTAGGGAAATAAGAAGGAGCAATCATTTAGATATGGCAAAAACAGTGAGATGCAAGGGAGTGGGCACACCTGATGTGGGCATGCATGGTTGCCAGGGAAGGCCACTGCCAGATGTGCATGGCTGGGAGCTCACACCATCAAGAGAGGAGGGAGAAGGCTTCTCCCATGCTGGGTGCTGGCAGTGAGGCAGGACTTCCACACATGGACATTCTCAGCTCCTGGAAGGTGTCCTTACTGGCAAAACTGTGTGGGGTCTTCTCCAAAGGCAAGCAGGAAGTCCAGAGACCCTCTTCAGTAGGGTGTGTGTGTGTGTGTGTGAGAGAGAGAGAGAGAAAGACAGAAGGAGACAGCGGGGGGAGGTGGGGAGAGAGAGAGACAGTGAACAGAATGAAGTATTTCAGCACCCATCTCAGGTAGGACAGGTGGGTAAAGAAGCTACCCCACGGCTATGGCTAGCGTAAAGTGGGCAGAACCCCAACCCCAAGAGCCCCCAGTACCTAGCTGGCAGGGTTGCCCACCCCACCACCCAACTGCTCCATCCTAGGGTCCTACAAGCCCTTAACTGGAAAGGCAGCTGGGGGTCAGATGGCTCAGGGGAGGTGTGCCTCCCAGGCCTGAAGACTTGCCTTCCCCAACCCATCCCCTACTCTCTTCCCTGCTCCTGCTACCCAGTCTTCACTAGGGAGAGACCAGGAGGTGCTTGTGCTGGCCCCAGGGTGGGGGCCCTAGTGAGACCCAGGTGAGGATGACCATCCTGCTCTCGCGGGGGAATCCCTTTCCCACATCTGTGCTGTGTCCTTGTTGCTCTGCTTTCTTTAAATGTGTCAGTGCCTGGGGGGAGAGGAGGGGCACCCTCTCATGCCCCCTGAACCTGACCAAAAGCCATGGCTGTTGCTCCCCCCTTTGTATGACGCAGATGCTAAGATGTACCAAACCAACCATGACAACAAAGAAAAGACCTTGTACAGCAGCTCTTGGTCTGTCTGCCCTCTTCTGTTCATTGGCATCACCAGGACTACACAGGGCACCAGCTGAGGTGAAGGGGGGCTGACCTGCAATGCTCAAGAGGCCCTAGAATACCTTCCATTTTACCTTCATGTCTGGTTGGGACACTGGAAATGATCCCAGAAATCAACTGAGACCAGAATCCAGGGCTGACCCAGAGATTCAGGGCCACTCACCTCCTGCGCCTCGAAGTAAAAGGCACAACGAACCCCTGGAGCTGGTGTTCCAGCCTGGTCACAATGCCCTGCACCCCATACCCCATCTCTGGCCATCCTTCTCCAAAAGTTCTTCGGGATATGGCATGCCAACATGAAGCCAGGTCCCATGGGTAGGCAAAGGTCACCGGTCATCCCACCAACACTGAGGGAGTTCCCACTGTGTGCCAGGCCATGTGTGGGAGCTGGGGACACATAAACAGGTTGCCACTGAGCATTGCTCCTGGACACAGACACTCCCCAGGCCTTGTTAAGCCAAGACAAGAGAACCCCCTTTTACCCTTGTCTGCCCCCACCATTGCCCTGCCTTAAGCTGGGCCTCATCTTTCCTCTATGTGGCTAGGTACCTCCCTCTTGTCACACACTGGCCTCCCAGCATCGATATCTGCCCTCTGTCCATCTTCTCCCCACCACCCCACCACACCTAGAAGACACAGCAAAACAACAAACTTAACCATGTCACTCCCTTGCCCAACACCCTTCAATGGTCTTTAGGAAAGTACCTGCCTATAGGATAACATCAAAATTGTCAACATGGCCCTGTATGATATGACCCCAATGTGCTAGGTCAGACCCACACCCAACTCTGAGCCAAGCACCCTCTCACGTACCATGCTGTTTGCAGGCTCCATCCCCTCTGCCGGGAATGAATGGTACCCTCCCTCCGGCTCCCGGAATATTTGTTGAACTTCTCAAAATCCAGCTAAGACGTCACCACCTGTGTGAAGGCCGCCCTGACACAGCCCCATCCCCCCTGCCCACAGCAGTCTGTTGTCATGCTCACAACAGAGCATCAGAGCTGCGTGCTCAGACAGCACTGGGTTTGCTGGTGGGTTCTGTCACCCAGCAGAGTGATCTTGAACAAGACACTTAACCCCTCTGAGTATTTGCTCACAAGTAAAATGGGATAATAATTGTTCTGACCTCCACAGTTGTGAGGAGTAAATGGGGTCACACACTCACACTCTTAGGACAGCGTGCCAAGCATTCAGTGAATGGCACCTTGCAAATTCTACTATAATTTACGTCGCTGCAATGTCTCCCTCTAACTTGGAGGCTCTACAGGGGCCATGCTGGCTGGTGCCTCCCAGCACCCACGGCAGAGGGTCCACAGGAACCCCAACGCTAGCTCAAGGTCCAAGCATTCAATCTCTGTCTCTTCAACTTGATGGCCACAGTCACTTTTCCTTCAGCTCTCTGTACCTACCAGACAGTAGGGGGAGGGGAGGCAGAGCCTGACCCCTCTCTCTTCTATGCCCTAACATCACCCATCCTGCATTTCTCCCAGAGCAGCCCATCACTCTGGGCTCATCGCACTAAGGGTAGCAGGTCTCCTGGACTCTCAGAGCCAGGGGAGCTCAGTGTGTGACAGGAGGCTACATTAGTTATCTACTGCTGCAGAACGAATTACCACAAACTTGGTGGCTTAAAGCAACACATGTTCATGATCTCAGTTTCTCATAGGAGGCCAGGCACCTCTGCTTCAGTGTCTCTCACCAAGCGGCAGTCAAGGTGCGGGCCAGGGTTGGGGTCTCAGCTGATAGTGAGGACCATTTCCACAGTCATGTGATTGTAGCCAAGATTTAGTTCCTGTTGAATTGGGGGCCTCAGTCCCTGGCTGGTTGTTGGCCAGAGGCTGTCCTTTGTTTCTCACTATGTGGAACCCTCTATTAGGGCAGCTCATGACATGGCAGCTTTCTTCATCAAAGTGCGCAAGCCAAGAAGGCAACAGAGAACATCAACTGGTAAGATGGCAGCCTTGGTGTTATGTAACCTGATTGGGGAAGTGACATCCCATCACTTTGGCCGTATTCTCTTGGTTAGAAGTCCATACTTATAGTCCCTGTCCATACCTATATAGAGAGGGTTACACATGATGTGACTAGGAGGGCAGGAATCACTGGGTGACTGCTTAGGGTCTGCCCCCACAGCGGCTGAGGCAACTCCTCCCTTCCCTACAAAGAAGCAGGAGTTGAGCAGGGCCTCAGAGGAGCCAAACCTCATCTACCACAGGGTCCTGAGTGGTGGAGGAAGTGTGTCAGAGCAGAATAAGAGCCAACAGTGGGCTCCTCCCAGGCTTCTGCAAAACCAAAGCCATTCCCAGAGCCAGGGGCTGGGCTCTGAGGGCCTTCCAAACTGGAGATTGGAGAGAAATGGAACATGAGGGATTTAGGCTTCCCTGGAAGTCCATGTGTGTTCTTTCAGCATGCCAGATGCTGTCTTCCCAAGACCCAGGTACCCCCCTCAGTAAACAATCCAGCCCCAGACACTCAGATGCTTCTTCCCTGCCTGCCTTGTCCCTCCTTCCCACTCAGTGGCACCCCACAGTGCCCTGTGCCCTAGTGGGGAAATCTTACTTTCAATCCTGAAGGTTTTCTCCTCAGAGTCCTAACTCTCTCTTAAAGAGCGCTTCCTGAGCTCCCACCACTTACTAGGCATGAGACTAGGCCCAACAACACTAATCACACAGTCCCTCTCACCAGAAATCTCCCTGCTAATGGGAGAAACAGATAGAGAAATAGTCCAATTAGCCACCATAACGGGTGTGGTGACACAGGCAAACTCGCGGTGATTGGGGAAGGCTCCCAGGAGGAAGCAACATTTGAAATGAGTCTTACACAAGAAGTCAACCTGGTGGCAAGGAAAGCACTCTAAGCAGAGGGGTTGGCATGGGCAAGGGCATGGAGGAGACAAATGTAGTCCAACATGGGTGGTGGGTATCAGGGAGGGAGAAGCAGAGGACATCTGTAGGAGCTTACTACATTCTTGGCAAAAAGTGGAAAGCCTGGAAACAGCAATCAGGGTGCCAGGAGACAGGACTCAGGCTCTCCCTGTAGGCCATGGGGAGCCACTGAAGGGTCTTGAGCAGAGATGTGATATGATCAGATTTGCAGATCGAGGAAGATCATTAGGGCTGTGAGGAGGAGGAACTGGGCTCCAGGAAGGAGCTGGTACAATGTCAAGGTTGCAGACGGTGAGGCCTGGCCTTAGGCAAAGGCAAAGGGCCTGGGAGAAGCAGACAGACTGGGGGGTGACATAGGAGAGCAAACTGGCAGGATTTGAGGACGAGACGTGTGGGGTATGGAGGAGGAAGGGGCTGAGGCCAAAGCCTGTATCTCCATCCTGGGTGGCTCCATTCTCTAAGATCCAGAAAGCTGGCAGAGACTGATTTAAGAAAAGATAATGAATTTGGTTTGGAGCTTCTGGATTTGAGGCACTTAGGGACAGTCTAGTGACCAGTCTGCTGTCCATGCCAGAGAAAGACAGGGAAAGCACAAACTTCACTGTGCATAGCTGGCCCCCAAATGGAGCAATGTCTCGACCATTTACTTTATTTATTACAAAGATCTAGGCACAGGAAGTCAAGAATCCATCCTTCCATACAACCCAGGAGTCCCTCTTGTGCCATCTTGGGCAGAGGGCACTCTGCTTGCATTTCCCTCAGTGTGAGAGAGCTCATTACAGTTGGACACGGGCCTTCTTTCTCCTAAACCAAAAGTTGCCAGGAGGCAGGGGGTTAATGAAGCTTCCTCCAGCATCCCTTTAATTGACTGCAAAACCCTGCTTCCAGACCACTCACTTAGCACTTGTAATTAATTGGGGCTTCTTGCCTGGACTAAGAGATGATTTGATACCCCTCACCAACCCCAGACAATGTTTTCTCAGCTGGGATTCCCCAGCTGGAACCATCTTTACACAATGGCCTATTTATAGGCACTGACCTGGACCTGAATACAGGTTTCAACCTTTTCTTCAGCTCTGGGTAAGCTGGGGAAAGCACGTCTCCACCCCAGGCACATGGCTAGCATGAAGTAAGGGTCAGCAGGTAGGACCAGAGTTGCTGGTGCTACCATAGCTTTGGACTCCAGGTGCTGGCATCCACCCTATCCCAGGGCAGGCCCACTGGTCTCATCAACTCCCTGCTGCTCTTACATTAACAGACAACGACATGACCCTGTCTACATGAGGGTTACAGTAGCCCATCTTAAATACGTCAGGGGAGAGAGAAGAAAAGGGAGGAAGAGCAAGGAAGCCTCCACTTCCTCAGTCCCTGCAACATGCTATAGCAAGAGTTGTTGCTCTAATGTAGCAAGAGTTGTTGCTCTAAAGGCACCACCTCTGCTTATCCTGACAGGCATCTATGAAGTCAGGATTATGTTCATTTTACATATGACAACACTGGGGCTCAAAAGTAGAGGCATACAATGGGAATGAGCATAGGCTTTGGTTTTCAGACAAACCTGGGTTGGAATCTTGATTCCTTCTGTTTGGTCTTGGGTATATGACTCCCTGGACCTTGGTTTCCTTACCTATTTAAAACAAATGAACATAGACTATATGCTATCTATACTGAAATTAAAGTAAAAATAGGGCAGCCCAGGTGGCTCAACAGTTTAGTGTTGCCTTCGGCCCAGGGCGTGATCCTGAAGACCCGGGATCGAGTCCCACGTCAGGCTCCCTCCATGGAGCCTGCTTCTCCCTCTCCTGTGCCTGTGTCTCTGCTTCTCTCTGTGTGTCTCTCATGAATAAATCAATAAAATCTTTTTTAAAAATAAATAAAGTAAAAATAAAATAAAAGAGTATAATAATCCCCACCACCACCAGGGGCATTAAGGTAACTAAATAAAATAATGTCTGTAGATATCCCCTAGCACAGTGCCTGGGCACATAATGGTACAGAAATAATGACAGCCACTGCTACAAAATGTTACTATTACTATGGCAAGACTGATGAAGCAAATGAGAAAAGGAGAATAGGAAAGGGGAA